GCTGGTGTCTGGCTTGGGCTTAACTATTGTGGGTTTTCTATCAAGCTTGGTATTGGGCTTGTTCTAGGTATTATAATGATAACTAATCAAATAATTATTTAAGAAACCCATGACAACTATGGGTTAGGCCCTTATGGGCCATGCCTATTAGTAGTTCCCAATTCCCAAGCGCAGGTTTAATCCAGCGAAGGGAATAAGATAAGTGAAAGTAGTCCCCCAAGTCGTAGAAGATGAGACCGACCGAGTATGCATGGGGAGAAAAAGAGGTGGTCGGTCTATTATATGAGGAGGCAGGGGACTGGATATAGAGAGGGGACAATTGATCGAGCATGTGAAGATGGCCGAAGGTAGCCAACCAACAAGATGGCCAATCAGTGAGGCGACCGAGCAAGGATGGCTAACCAGAAAGGTGATCGACCTGCAAGATGACTGAGCGAGGTTGACCGACCAACAAGGTGACTAACAGACAGGATGGTTGAATGATCTGAATGCTATGATAGTGAACGGGCTCGAGGTACATGGATGCTCGTGATGATGTGATGTGGAACAAACGTGGGAAAGAGAGAGAGGCTTAGTAGTAGGGGGAATTAATCGCGTTTATCCACGCGAGACAATCTGGGCCTCTAATACAAATTTTGAATTGTAGTGGATGCGAAAGGTTTTGAATGTAGGTGAATTCGAAAAGGTTTGGGTAGTTACCTGTTAATGCAGTCAAGTTGGTGGGGTATGGGTTAGACTGATCCAAGCACTCCATGGGTTGAATGTCCTTCGTTTTCCTGATCACACTTGCAACAAGTCAAGTAGAAAGGTTCAGAAATGGAGATGGTTCCTTCCTACGGACCCTCCAATGATCAAATTAGATGAAGAAGATGGTGAAGGTAAGAACTTATAGAAATTTAAGCGTATAGGAATGAAGAGAGAGAGAGAGAGAGTTACTTGTTACGAAGCGTTCCTCAAAAGCTTCTTTATATCTCTTGTTAATCATTTCCTTATCCATTCATGCTATCACATTGGCTGAAAGTTTGTCATGGCCATTTCACCATGCTCCAGAGTGAGAGATCTTAGTGCATTTAATGCCTTGGCAGTCTCATTTAATGCTTAGCGCGTGGGTTCAAAAACTTTGAAGAATTTTTATCTGTCACGTGGCTAGACTCTTGCTTGGCACGTATCTAGTTGGTGCCTGGGTTTGACTATTATGGGTTCTCTATTAAGCTTGGTGTTGGGCCTGTTATGGACTTTATGATGATAACTAATCAAATAATTGTTTAAGGAACCTATAGCAACCATAGATTGGGCCCTCCTAGGCTATGCCCATCAATTACGAACTCCGAGCCAAAGCCAAAAAAACAAAAATTCACTTAAAATACTCAACCCAAGAGCCCCTTTTGCTACATTTGCTGTCTTTCTCTGTCAAATATGAAGGATTCAAAATTTCTATTTTAACAACAATTAAAACAAAGATTACTTTCACACCCAAAAAAGCTAAAAGCTATTTCAGACTAGTGACATGGCACATTATCACAATCACAATTTTATATTTAATTAAAAACAAAAATAATAAAAAATTGAAGACAATTTCTATTTCATTTTGATCATATTAAAACAATTTTTGATTGCTTTAACCATCTTTATCTCCCTGTCTAAAAACAAAAACAATATTAGCTTAATTTGGTGGAGGTTTAAAAATCAACTTATTAATTAAAAAAATTATTTTAGCCACTTCATAAAGTTATTAAAAAATATAAATAGTAAATAGCAATTTACATGCAATCATATGCCCAAAAACACTCACAATCACTACCTTAGAGCATCCGTATCAAACTCATCAAAACTGTATCTTAGTTATTTTATACTGAAAAATCAGAAAAAACACAAAATCCTTGCTCCATCAAACTTGGCAACGTAATTGGTAGTTTTTATCAAACCCAAATCCCTCGCTATAAATAACCAACAACAAAGACTCGGCTATTGGACTGAACTCAGAAATTATTGAGCAACGGTACAATTCCGCTCTCTCTGATCTTCCTCTTCCTCCTCCTTTTTTTTGATCTCTTAACTTAATATTGAATCAATGTTTCAATGATTTGATTATTGGATCAAGAGTTTGAACTGGATTTTGAATGTTGAGTGATGATACATTTGAAGGATTTAAATTGAATATTATGTTGAGTTTTAAGAGTCATGAATTTTTCTTAATTGCTTGCATGGTACTTGTTGAATTGCCATAATGAATATGTTGTTATGTAGGACTGAGTTTTAAACTTTATGCAATATTGCTTTGAATGTAAAGGAGTTATGAATTTCTTAATTGTTTGCACGATGTTCGTTAAATTGCCGCAATGAATCTTAATTGCTTGCATGGTGTCCATTTGAAAAATATGATTTTTTTGAAAAAATAAATAAATAATAAATAAGGAATATTTAAATTGAATGGAGAAAGAAATAGAAAGTTTGTTAGAGCTACATCCTCATCAAGCTCTTTAAAATCATTTTTTAGCTAATAAACTTTAAAAAATCAACTCCATCAGACTCACTTGCAACTCGTAAAAATTTACGTTTACTACAGTATCTCGTTATAACAAGCAAGGTACTGTTCATCGCTAGATTAGTGTTATCGGATATCCGCCCGAATGTCCGTCCAGTCAAAGGCAATTTTTTTTTTTTGGTTGCTTTTTCAAAAAATTGTTTGACTAATAACTTATCAATTTAATAAAATAAAATAAAAAACTAACAAACACAATAAGAAAATATCATCAAGCTCTTCAAAATCATTTTTTAGCTAATAAACTTCAAAAAATCAACTCCATAAGACTCACTTGCAACTCGTAAAAATTTACGTTTACTACAGTATCTCGTTATAACAAGTAAGGTACTGTTCATCGCTAGATTAGTGTTATCGGATATCCGCCCGAATGTCCGTCCAGTCAAAGGCAATTTTTTTTTTTTGGTTGCTTTTTCAAAAAATTGTTTGACTAATAACTTATCAATTTAATAAAATAAAATAAAAAACTAACAAACACAATAAGAAAATAAATTTAAGAGTTGTTTGGGATGATCTAAATAATTGTACTTTTTGACTTTTTATGAAATATGGATTGGGTTTGAAGTGATGTAGTAGAGAGGTGTTGTGACTTAAATAAGATGATATGACTTAAATATGATAGTAACTTTTTGACTTTTTCAGTTTATGCCAAATAAGGTCTTAATAAGAATAAGTTAAAATAGAGAATTTGATGCAGTAAGTACTAAAAAATGACTAGCTAAAATAACAAAATAACTTTAATTTGATTAAAAATTTGAAGACATTGGTGTGGATGCTCTTTAGAGCATGACAAGAAAAATAAGGTTAGCTAAAATTAAAATAAAAAAAAAAGTAAGGTTGCGTTTGTTAGAATTTTGTAAATATGATTTGAGAGTATTGGTTATCATTTTTCAAAAACACTTTTCAGAAAATTCTATTTTCTTATTTTTTGTGTTTTTTTTTTTTTGTTTTTAGTGATTTTTTTTAATATTTTAAGCAATTTTTTTTAATTTTTAGACATACCTAACATAAATATACCTAAAAAGTAAAAAAAAAATTGAAAAAAACCTTTTAAAAATTCACTAAATACCAAAAATACAAAAAAAAAACGAGAATTCAGTACAATTTTTGTATTTTTATGTATTTATTAATTTTTTAAAATATTTTTTCACATATGTTTTACTTTTTGGATACATCTAAGTAAGGTGCATCTAAAAAAGTAAAAGAAAAATTTAAAAATATTTTCTAAAAATAAAAAAACACAAAAATCAAAAACTCAATTTTCAAAAAATTTAATCCAAAAAACTCAAACCAAACACACTGAATTGTATTTTGAGTTTGTGAGTTGTGCAATTATAATTTGAGTGTAAAAAATTTGTTTGATTATGGTTTTTAAATAAAATGTTGAATTGAGTATAAAATTGAGTTTTGAAAGTTTGATTTAACATATAAAGTAAAAAAATTTGTTTGGTTATGAGTTTTAAAAATAATTTTTAAAACTTAATTCAAATTGTTATAACTCATAACAAAACACACTAATTTCACACTATTGAAAATTCTAATCAACACTCATAACCAAACTCTTTTTAAAATTCAATTAAAAAAATTTATTATTAACAAAAAAATAACATTAATCAATTTTTTAATTAAAAATACTACAAAAAAATAATTTTTTTTCAAAATAAATATTCAAAAAATTTAAATCATAAATATTTAAATAATTTAAATAATCTAAAAAATCTAAAAAAATTAGTAAGTAAAAAATTAAAATAAATATTCAGAAAATTTAAGTTGTCAAAATTTAAATAATTTAAATATTCAAAAATTTTAAATAATTTAAAATGTTAATATTTTAAATTTAAAAACAACTCTACACTCAAATCGTAACCAAATGCATAACTCGAAACTCCATACTACTTTCACAACTCTACACTCAAATCGTAACCAAATACATAACAAAAAAATTAAAATATTTAAAAATATTTTTATAAAATAGAGTTTGAATTTATTTTTATAAAATATTTTAAAATTTAAAAAATTAAAATCATAATATTTCGAAATTAAAATATTTAAAAATATTCAAAAAATTTAAAAATTTAAAAAAATTAAAACATATTTAAATATTAAAATATTTAAAATCTTAACAAAATTAAAATATTTTTAAAATATTTAAATATTTAAAATATTTAAAAAATTAAAATATTGATTTAAATTGAGTTTGAAAAGAATTTTAAATTATGTGTTTGGTTATGAATTTTGAAAAATAATGATTACATTTTGAATTAAGTTTTGAGAAATAAATATAGAATTATGATTTGAAAACTCAAAACAAACAACACACTTAAATTAATGGATGAAACTATAATTTGAGAGTCTCATCAAAGGAAGCCTAAGCTTTTAACTACAATTTGACTAAACATTTAACTATTTTGATATGGATGCTCTTATATCGACATAGACCAGTAAGGTCTCTAAGCAATTTCTCACGAAACTAAAGTGAATTTGTTTTTCTTCCCACTTTTTCTATAGAAACAAGTTTGAAAGTCAATACAGAAAATAATGCAAAACCACTAAACCGGTCATCATTAGGAGATCCACAAAATCTACACCGTCTGGTGGACGAGATGGTCCATCCCCAACGTATGCTAAACACCTGATCTAGAAAGGTAGAATATTCACAACTGCTCAGTATTGATCCAAAATGGGGGGAATTGGAAATTAATTAATTGGATGAAAAAAGGTTATTAGAAATCCCCTTCTGCAGGCAAAGGGGAAAGGGGTCAAGAGACTGCCACTGCATCCTTATTCACAGGTGCTTCATAAATAGTGTCGGAGACTTTGGATGGTGGCCAATAACGAAGCACCGACCTGCCAACAATATTTTTTACTGGAAGAGGACCCCTGAAAACAAGGTGAAAGTAACAAGTCACTACAAATCCTTGCAATACAGATGCAAAAATAAAATAAAATAAAAAACAACCAAAAAATTGTTAATATTCCTCCAGTATCAGCGATTTGGATGTTAGTAAGCACAATCACATCAAAGATTTTTTATAAGGAATTGTCGAATAATACAGCTACACTATTCAAATAAATTACTTCAAGCAATTCTAATATTGGTGACCCGAAATTACCAATTATGCGAATCAAAACTATTGTTGCGGTTGTCCCCCATGACAAACACAAAACCTTCAGGTACAAGCTGCAGAAATACAAGTTGCAAATTTTCAGACCAATATGGTAAATGTTTTAGGACTCTAATAAGATTAATGATAAGAAATTCACTTTGATAAAGCAAACAAGCAGGAGTTCTTACCACTGGTTCCATTTCATAATCAAGTGGCTCCAAAATGAAATCCTCTTCTTGCACAATACCATTCACCATTAACTTACCATCATGTACCTATTAAGGCACAGAATTACTGAACAGTAGATGTCAAGATGAAGCACATGAGATTTTTCAGTTAAATGAAGAAGAGAACTTACTTCAACAAAATCCCGTTCCTTTGCAACAATGCGCTTTATAAACACATCACCTGAACTATAGCCGATTTCCTGCAAGGCGCACCCAAAAAATACACGCAAATGTATTAGTGTCTAATGAATTGATCAAAATATTTTATTTGTTACTTTGACAATGCGAAACACACCTGAAGAATTGGAGGCACCTTAAATATCACAATATCTGAAACTTCAGGCTTTCTAAAGACATAGGAAACCTGACCACCAAATATATCAGCAAAAAAATCAATTCAAAATATTCAAAAAACAGAGACACTTCATTTTATCCCACAAGATTTCACACTTATGCTATACATAAAACCAAACGAAACATCATCTTCCATCAATCATATTTCCAGAAACTACAACATAATTGAAAAAGCAATAATTGGTGAATAGCATTATTATGTCGAGTCAATATTTAACAAAAGCATCTAAACATATTTCTGAATATATTTCATGATTCATGAAGGGATAGCTTAAAAACCATTAGACTAGTCATCTGACAAAAGGATGATTCATGCAAAGCAAGTTTTGGTTCCATATATAAAGGATGATATTGCCCAGAATTAATAGAAAGCAAGTATTATCACATTCATTCTAATCAATAAGTATTATCTTCCAATTGCTACCCTAAGTTATAACCGACAATTGGTGGGCATTATCACCATCCAAACAAACATCTACATTATCTTTTTAAAGCTCAATTTTCAGTTTTCTGCATAGCTAATACATATATATGCATCACCCCCAAGACCTACCACAAGCAAATTGTTCATATTCCCAATTATGGTATAAAAAGGCACATTTCACAGGTAAAATATTATCCCCAATTATGAAATCAGCTAAGGGTTAACAAGCTTATACCTTCTCGGCTAATATCCTATCACCCACATCCAAAGTTGGAAACATAGAAGACGAAGGAATGGATCTTGGCTCGGCCAAGGATGATCGGAAAAGTATACTAACAGTCAACGCCGTGAAAACGGCCTTGGCATCCTCGGAACGAAAATTCAACAACCTCGAGAACCAATTGCTCCTCTCAAACGTCCTTCCACTAAAGCAATCATTCTCTTCCACTTCTCTACACTCTGTTCCACCCTCATCCACCTCATTACTAGCCGAGATCAGAATTGGCTCGTTACAGGGAAGCCACTTCGACCCTCGTAAAAACGGAATGATCGAAGAGGCCTTCAAAGGCGAAATCCCAAAAATCGCCATAGACGAAACACAAGACGACGAGTTGAGTAACGAAATCAAACCAACAACATGCCGCGAAGACTTACTGTTCTCCACCGGAAATTCGCTGGCAAGGGTAGTGCACATAGAGGATGAGTTCTTGACCCAGCAATTCGACTTCGGCCGCCGGGACTCAGCCTGGTGGTGGTAGTTCCTGGCGGCGGAGGCGGGGGGGTCGAGTTCGGGCTTCTGGTTAGGGCAGAAAAGGCGAGATCGGACGAAGCATTCGTGAAACAAGCGGCAACCTCCGGCTTTGTTGGAGGCAGAGGCGGCGAGGTTTTGGGCGACGTAGCCGGAGTAGGTGACAGTGAACCTGATCGCCATGGCTGCGGATTTTGATAGTCTGATCAAGAACCGGTACAGAGTGGTTTTGGGGAACGAGGGTGATGATAAGAGAAACCCTAAAGGGCGAGAAATGCCATTGGTGATGAAATAAAAAGTGAAACGGAGGAGGGAGAGTTGAATTGAAATCAGTGAAAGAATCGGAAGGTAATGAGGAAAATCGGAGCAAAATTGGATGTTGCGGTGATGAGAGTGAGGAAGAAGATGATAGAATTGGAAAACCCTAACGAGTCCTCACTCCTGAGCGATCGCTCAGAGAGAGAGAATTGAGACGCGTAAATTAGACGAGGGGTTGAGCAACGGAGAACGAAGGGTTTAATAGTCGGCCGCGCTTTTATTATTTTTTTTTTTTTCCCTGTAGTCGGCCCCCTCATTTTCTTCCAATAAAATGGGGCCTGTTTTGAGTATTATTTTTATAATTTAAATTATTTATAGTAAAATGTTTTTTTTATAAAAAAATTAAAAATTCTATGATCAGTTAAATTTGTATTTGAAAAAACAAAAAGTATATGATATTTTGAATATAAAATTGAATATAAATTTAATTTGATCATACAGTAACTAATATTCAATCAACTTAATTTTTATAAAAATATTTCACTTGATATGTCTTAAAAAATTAATTATTTAAATTATTGATATAGAACTTAAAAGTAAGCCCATTACACTCACATAAATGACTGTAGTGCAAATGGCACGACAACTACACTACATCACCCTCTATGAGGTTGTTTGCCAACTTCATTTTTGAATAAAAAAGTTAAAATTTTTATTTTAAAAAAAATCATTAAAAATTAAAATAAATCAAACATACTAATTATTATTATTTGGTTTGAAGGATTAATAAGGAGAGGGGCTAAAAATATATGAGACTAATGTATGATTGGGGTGTAAATTTGGCCAGCAGCTTGGTGTGGACCTGGCCTAGTTAGACCCGAGACCATGGTCTTAGTCCTAGACCATTATTTTGAAGTCTGACTCGTGCCCCAGTCCAACGACCCGCTTAAGGCTCACTTAAAACTCGATCCGAGACCCGGTCTGTCAGAGGCCCTATGCCATTTTTAGTAAAAAATAATAAAATTTTGATTAAAAAATAAAGAAAATATATATATATATATATATATATTCAAGCCTACCCAAGCCAAAGCCCAGGTCCGGGCCTGTTGACTTGGCCCATGCAAGGACCAAATACCCCCTAAGCCTATACCTAATTTTTGGTCCGAATTTTGGACGGGGCCTGGACAGCCTGACATGGGCCGAGCCAGGCCAGGGCAAGCCCAATTTACACCCCTAATGTATGGTTGGCCAACCAATTAGATTGGAGAGAGAAATAGTTTCATATTATCCATGTTTAGTTTGCATTATTAGTTACTAGATTAACAATTCATTAATTTTATTAGATAAAATGTCTATTAAAATTTAATTTAAATAACAAAAATTATAAATTAATAATTTTAATATGAAATAATTACTCACACATCTTGTTATAAGGGCATGTGCACCATTAAACTCTACACCTGTCTTGTTAGTGACGTTCTTCTGTGACAATTTTATAAATCTGTCGCAAAAAAATGACAATTTTTTCAACTTTTGATAAAAATTAACAATTAGTGATATTTTTTTCATGAAAATGCCACACAAAAAAAAATATAAAAAAGGAATTTTGTGATAATAATTAAAAGTGAACAAAACATTTGATGCATAAAAAAATCAAAAAGACTTATTAGTGCACCTATTTTCGTAGAACGACTTATCAGTCAGTTCCCTTCTAAATTATGACATAAGAGTGTTTTGGAAAGATAGTTAAAAGTTGACTTTTTATTTTTTTTAATTATTTGATTTTTTTTTTTTTTGAGAGATTAAATTGATTAAAAGTTGAGAAATGGCTCTTTACGTTGACCCACTTCCCAAAATATGTCATAAATGACACAATCAACAGATCCAAGTGTGTTGGACTTTTATGCCATTTTATTTGAATCCAAATATTATCTTAGCACACACTAACTTAAATTTTAAAATTTTTATTTTTATTGTGAATGTACTAATAAGGATAATGCATATTAAACATAAAAAAAAAAATATATTTTTTTTCATTGTATACTCTAATTAATTATACGTATTCTTTCTATTCAAATCTCTTCATCTTCTTCCCTAAGTTTCAGTTATTTTCTCTTATTCTTCTTTATCACTCCAAAATTTCAATCTATCTCACCAAGACTCACCATTATTATCAATATCATTTTTTTATTTTATTATATTGTTACTTGTAAATAGAAGAAAGTTTAAACAAAATCAAACAATGGAGAAGAGTAATAATCAAAACAGTTTTTTAAAATAACCTATAAAAAAGGAGATAAGTATTCACATAAATATCAATATACAATTATTGATTTATGTATTTTTTTTTTACATATAAAGGCGAATATTCAACGTGTCTTTCCTTATTATTGTTTGAATTTTCAAAACTAAACAATCACTTTGTTCGGTTCTAAAAATCCAAACAATAATTATAAAAAACAGGTTGAATATTTGTCGACCTCCTTACTGTTCTCCTTCTCTTTCACCATCCCCTTCGTCGATGTCGAATTTTCTAATCGTATTCCATGTATGTACGTGAATAAAAAAAAAGTTTTACAATAGTAATTTGAATTTTTAAATTTTTTATTTGAGCCAACCTCAAAAGGATAATTTGGAGAAAAAAAAAATAGAATGTACTCAGAATAAAATATAATTTTAAATAATTTAATAAGATATCCTGAAAAATTTGGCTGGCTTAAACATTTTTTTTTTTGAGTGTAAATAGAATTTCTCACTGCAGTAATGTCCAACGTGGTCGTATTATTTCTTTTGGACCGAAAGTATCAAATTGTGGGCTTCAGAATTTAATGGACCCCAAAATCTGAGGTATTTATTTGTTGGGCTGGGCTGAAGGAATGTTTCTCTGCTTCATTGGGTATATGCTTTTAGCAGCTTGAAATGTTAATGGGCCCTCAAAAATACCAGGACTAAATTCAACATTACAGGATGTGAGGATGAATGGGCCTGGTACTGTGACAAACCAATGAGCTATTATTGTTAGGGGGAGTTACGGGCCAGTCCTGCTTAGGGAACTTATTACCCGCTAGGTCTAGTCTAATTTGCTGAAATCATTTTTCCAATTTAACCACTAGCCCAAACCTGCTACCCAGAACACACCATCGGCAACCCGTTACCCATCTTCATCTTTAAACCGTTTCACTCTTTTGAATGACGCTCAGGCGACTTAAACCCTCTATCGCCCATCATCGTCCTCCATTGCCGTCAACATCATGGGCCTCAACCATCGTCCTTCTCTCTCATCGTCAACATCACGAGCTTAAATAAATTCATCAGTGATAAATTTATCACTCTAATTTATCATTGATTATTATTGATTATCACTCATAAATTTATCAGTAATTTGTTAAATTAATTGCTATTATTTGATTGTTTGGTTGTACAGTGTTAGTGATTATTGAATGATGATTGAATCACAAATTAATTTTGATTGTTGATCATGGACTGATAAAAATGATAAATTGACCATCCTGCATATTTATCTCTTTATATTGACAAAAATGATAAATTTATCACTGTATTAATATTAAAATTCCAACACAGCAACAACAATAACATATTGAATAATGTCAAAGATAAATTTATCATTGTATTAATATCAAAATTATAGCGTAGCAACAATCCACAGCATATTGAACAATTCAGCTTTCAGTGATAATTTTATCACTGAAACTATAACTAAAAATATATAACATTGTAAATATATACACAATAATAGATTGGTGATGGAGGACGACGACGACAGTGGTGGTTTAAGCAAATGCCGTTGAAGGAGGCGGAAGACGATAGTGGTTGAGGCAAGTGGCATTGAAGGCGATGAAGGGCGGTAGTGAGGCGAGCAGCGTTGAAGGTGATGGAGGACGGCGATGGTTGAAGTGAGCAGCGTTTAAGGCAACAAAGGAAGACATGTGCCGATTGGAGAAATCGTGGGAGAGAGAGAGAGAGCAATGAATAAGGGTAAAATAGAACATGGGCAGGACGAAAAAAAGAGCCCCAAGACTTATTGGTGCATAAGATCAAACTTTAGGACTAAAACAAGAATACTCTTAAAAGCATGACCGACTAGTAAAAAAGCCTTATTGTTATTGTTATTATTGGAATGAGCTAAAATTGAATAATTATTATTCTATTGAAATGTTTATTTTTATGTTTAGTTTGTTCAAAAGATTATGAAAAATAAAATATAAATAGAATCATTATTAATCACAATTATTATAATTATTATTTCCTAAGAATACTAAGAAATAATCATTTCATTCTAACCTACCTTCATTTTAATAAACTAAACATCACCTAAAAGTAAGCGTAACTGATACAAAACTAAAATAACAAAGTTTAGGGAGTACTATCCAAATAACATCTCTCACAAAAAAAAGCCAAAAAGCCAAAAAGTCAAAAAGCCCTTCCCAAACCAAGCTTTTTAGCCCAGGCTAAAATAGCCAAAAAAGTAAAAAAGCCAAAAAGCCAACCCACTTCCCAAACGGAGGCTAAGAAATAATCATTTCATTCTAACCTACCTTCATTTTAATAAACTAAACATCACCTAAAAGTAAGCGTAACTGATACAAAACTAAAATAACAAAGTTTAGGGAGTACTATCCAAATAACAAGACTCATTGACTCAATAAAATAACAAAGTTTGGGGAGTACTATCCAAATAACAAATAACAAGACTCATTGACTCAATAAGTTTAAAGACTAAGGGTATGTTTGGTTTGTATTTTGAAATAAATTTTAAAAAAAAAATAAAGAGAAAGTTTAGAATTTTTTTAGTTTGTTTGGTTGTATATTTTGAAAATAATTTTTGAGTTTAGGAGTTTGGGATGATTTGATATTTTGTTATAGTAGAGTAGATGTGTGTGAGAGAAAAAATGATTGAGAAAAACAGATGAAAGAAAAAAAGTGATTGAATGATGTGTAGGAAAGAGAAAATGATTTTGGAAAAAAATTCAAAAAATTTCCAACCAAACAAAATTTTGATTTTTTTTTTTCAAAAATTATGTTTTGAATAACCTAAAAATTTTGATTTTTGAATAACTTAAAAAAGTCAACAAGTCAAAAAGTTACTATTCTATTTAAGTCGCATCATTTTATTTAAGTCACATCGGCCTTATTTGGTTTGACTTTAGGAGATAAGTTTTCAAAAAATATTTTGAGGAAAATGTTTAGAAATTTTTGTAATTTGTATGGTCGTATATTTTTAAAATA